ATGATGCTCACACTTCGATTCCCCTCTTTCCATCTTGCAGTGGGATCTGCAAAACCAGGTGCTGCAGCAGCAGCAGCAGCAGCAGCAACAGCAACAGCAGCAGCAGCAGCAGCAGCAGCAGCAACAACAATCTCAGCAGCAACAGCAGCAGCGCCAGCAGGGAGGTAATGGCGGCAACGGACCCAACATGAACGCCCTAGGCGGACGTGGCAGCGGGGCCGTAGGCAGTGGTAGTGGCAACGGTGGCGGCTCCCAGGTGGTTGGTGGCAACGGCGGTGGAGGCGGCAATGGTGGCGGAAATGGTGTTGGCAGCGTGGGACAAAGCGGCGGCAATCAGGGCCGGTACCCCACGCCCATTCAGCGTCCCAACAACTATCCGCAGCAGCATCCCCAACAACAACAACAGCAGCAGCAGCAGCAACAGCAGCAGCGGGATCAGGCGGCAGCAGCGGCGCAGCGCGCCCAAAACATGCGGCAGGTGACCGGCGGCAATGGAGGAGTGGGCGGCCAATGCGGTGGCGTTGGCGGTGGTGCCGGCAGTGCCGGTGGCAATGGCAATGCGCCAGTTGGACCGCCGGGCGGCAACGGCAGTGGCAATGGTGGACCAGGAGGAGCGGTGGGTGGCGGATCAACCGGCTCTGCGGTCGGCTCGGCGGCTGCGCAGCTGAGCAAGCCCTATTATGCCAACAATGCGGCCGGCTCCGGTGGTGGGGCCAATCGCGGGGAGTGGCACGCCAACTGAGTGGGGCAGAATCCTTCGCCCACGTCACGACCACCACTCTCACTCCCACTCCAGAAGACCCCAGCCAAGGCCACAACCACAGCCACAGTCCCCCACCTACAATTCAAGAAAATCCACACACACAAACGTGCATACAGGCATAAAGGAAACTAGGAATAGAGGAAGGAACGCGCATCGAAGGAGCAAAAAAAAGAAACAAAAAGAAACGAAAGGAAAGGAATAATAACGAATGTTGGAACCGATAGAAGTGAAAGCAGAGAGGAGAAAATATTTACTTATCCATTAAACTAAACGTAAAGCAAAGAGTTAAAGTAAAAAGTGAACAGAGTGGTAACGAAATCAAAGTTAATAACACAAACTACAACAGATACTAGCGAAAGCGTAAGAGAAAAAGTGAGAGAAGAGCATGTGCGTGTGCGTGTTCGTGTTCAATAAAGCAAGGAGACGCGGGAGTAAAAGCGACAAAGAGAGCGAGAGAGAGAGAGGAGAGATGAGATGAGTAGAGCTAAAAAAAAGCTAAAAAGATAAACATAGCTGCCAAGAATATGACGGTAAAAATTAACCGCTAGAGAAGAAAGCAAACTAGAGAAAAGAAAACAGTACTCAAGAGTGAACGAGAAATGGGAGAAATGCAACCGCAAAGTGAGAGAAAAGCGTTCCAAATGGAAATTTGGCAACAGCGAAGAGACGGGACAGACAGCGAGACACGAAACACAAAACTATACGAGACAATTAGAGCAGCAATAAATGCCGTTAGCTAGCGAGAAGAGCAGCCAATCGGCTGAAGGATCGGCAGCAGAGGTTGATTTTGATGATTGTGGGAGGTCCTCAGGGAAGAGAGGCGGAACGAAGACAGAATATGCAGATCAGAGATAGTAAGAGATAGGTACCCTCCCCCCTCCCACCACCATACACAGCCCTGGCCCTCCTACAACTCCCGCCACACCGCCACCGCCGCAACAACCAAGATTGAGGACGGAAGCAGAAGCAACAGGAGAACAGGAGCACGAAAAAGCAATAGAAAATGGAGGAATTGCAAGAGAATTACTTATTAAACAAACAACACATATATAAACACACACACAACACGCATACATTACACACACACACACACACACATACACACGAACACGAACTCATATAAATACATACTTACATAAATAGCGGAGTGTATTTTTTGTCAAACAAATTTACATAATATTACTTTTACTTTTATATTACTTATTATTTGTTTGTAGTAGAGTCTCTCTCCCGCAACGCCCCGCCCCGCCCCTCAACGCTCAGACCCAACATTAAATCGTCCCAAAAAAAAAAATCAAGAAAAAACCCCCCTCTCCCTCCCCCAACAAAAGATAGAAAACCAACAACAAACTGAACATTTGGCACTGCGTATGCTTTAATTTCTTTATACATAAATACATAATACATATACATAAATATTGTTTAATTTTTTTTGCAACACACACAAAAAATCCACTAATAATTCTAATTTATGTTTATGCTACAATATAATACATTATATATATATATATACAAAACGTATCCCGGGGCTCTATCTAATCTATCCAAAATCTGAAAACGGACAGAACGAAGAAAGTGGCCAGAAAGCGAGCACGAGATGATACCTACATACATATATAGAGAATATATATAGTGAAACGAAGAGAGAGAGAGACAAATGAAATGCAGGCAAGCTTTTAAGTTTGATTAAGCGCAAAACTAAGTTTAAACAAGTAAAAGCAAACAAAATACATTTTAGAAATCATGTATGAACAAAAAAAAAAAACAAAATAACAGCGATGGGCTCTATGTAGCATTATATAGACATATGAGTAATTCCTGATCCCGATCATGATCGTTATACAAGAATCCACCCCAAAGTCCCCTCAATATGGCAGCATTGCTAAACGAATAACGGTATCCGTATCCAGGCTTTAAATTGAAAGTGTTCAGCGCAAATCGCACATGGGTGGCAACGCTGCCACCATCCACCTCCCAATCGCAGCCAGACCTGCCAGACATCGCCAGCCAGTAATCGGAAAGAACTGTAATCGAGCAGAAAGTTAAAAGTAATTTATGCTGTACTGTACTGTACGAGAGTAACGTAACGAGAATGAAATTTAAACAATTTATATAAATGTGTAATTCATTATGTAACTGTAACTATAACTTAACAAGGATATGATATGATCTATGTATGGGCATTAACTATACACACACACACTCACACACCACAGGCCTACACAAAAACACAAATACGCATGCATATACAAGAAATACGAGTATATATATATTATATATAGAGGCAAAAAACCATAACACTTTTAATGACAAAAAGATCCCTTCCCACACACACACATACAACAGTAATTATAACGATTATAATCGCACACATCATCCCTGGGAGAGCCGCAGAGGTCTCACGCTTGCACACACCTCCCCAGGGCGGCAAAGGAGATCACTGCGGCCCGGCCACGAAGGACACTATCCCTATGCGAAATATGTAGTAGAAATATAGACGAAAAACAAAACAAAAACCAAAAATGAAGCAGAATAACTGCGACTGCGACTGCGCTGCGCACTTTGCTACGCTGCTGCTGTGCTGCGCTGCAATAGAAATACAAAAAAAGCAATGGAATATAGCGGTATATTAAATAATAGTCCACACACACACAATCAGACTCATTTACTCCCTCACTCACACGCACCCCAAGATCACTCTCTCACTCACATAAGGCCCGCCCCCAAAATGGGAAATTTGCAAAGCCAGGCAAATAGTTTAGTTATTAAAATAACACGGAAAAAAAAGCGAAAAGAAACAGAAGCAGAAACAGAAAAAAAGAAGAAAGGGAAAGCGAAACAGTTAGTGGATAACAGGAATATAGGAAGATATATAGAAAGAAAACCGAAATCGAAGCAAACGCTTGCTATTATACAACACATGTAAAAGGTAATTACATAGCATATACATACAATTGATAAATGATATAAACACTAATTTATACCTACAACATACATATATTTTAAATGCATCACGAAACCAGTTAGGGCTGATTAACAGTCAGCTAAACGGCCGAAGGACGACAGGCGCGGAATAGGCCCGGCCAGCAGGCAGGCAGATAGGAGAGAAATGAAGAGTACAGTACATGAAATATTTATACGAAATATATGTAAACCATTTTTACATTCAATTCATTCAAATTAATTTTTAGCAATACTGAAATTTCGATAAAAAAAAAACATTACAAAAAAAATTCTGGGGCCCGCCCCAGATCCCCAAATATACCCTGACCCCCCCTCCACACACTCAACCAATGAATGCGAGGAATCTTTAAATTACGATTCAAATCTGGGGCCCGCTCCAGATCCCCCTTAACCCCTAGCCTCAACCGATGAATGAGGGAAATTTAAAGCAAGTTTGAAATGAAATAAAACTTTAAATAAAATATTTAAAAACATAAAAAAAAAACAAAAAAAACCCTTAAAAAACAACGAAACAAAATTTGTTGAACAAGAAGTTTTTAACCTACACTGTATGTACCAATATGTTGTTTTCACATTTGATTTCTTTAGGAAAATTCTCATCGTTCAACATATACAATAATAAAGGGGGCAGAGCAGAGCATGGCGCATGGCGCATGGGTCAAAAGTGCAGCAAGGTTCCCACATTGAAGTGGACACATCTGGTCGGTATACATCAAAACTCGTGTAAGAATAATGGGTAAACAAGCAAAGGCCAGCAGTTCAGTATTTGAATCGCTTAATTATAGAAAAATGCATAAGCGCAAACTATGAAGAATTCTCGGTGATATTCACGTTGAATCCATTCGAAGATTATGGATTCAATTCACGATGTACCAAGAGGAGAATGATGAGAGTGTATCCGACATACAGGAGAATTCCTCATAATTTCACATTGAACAGATGCTCTTCCCTTAAAGTAAAGGTGTCGTTCTGAAGGGAGAGCAACGAAGAGCGTACGCTTTTGATGCTGTCAAGCACATACATATGTATGTATATTGTATATCCTCTTGGATGACCTGAATTAGAGCGAGATGAAGTTATACCAGTGAGCAGAGGAAGATAGTTCCTTGGAGACGGACGGGCAAAGTGGACCACAGACGCACAGACCCTTATATCGGGGAGGACTTGCACAATGCATTCACGCTGAGATTGGTTCTTGTTCAGCCAGTTCCATGAACGAACCATCCGGCTTTCCTCCTGGCGTGGGAGATCATTACATAAGCCATTTTGTTCAGTGTGTTAAATTTTCAACTTATTTATTCCTTCAAGGTCTTGCACTGCACATGAAATTACATGGCCTCGATCCTGCGGCGCCCGTTCTTTGGTGTTCGGATCACGAGCATACGGTCCAGGGGTCCGACTGGGGCTGCAGAAGCACTTGGTACGAGAAGAAAACAAAGGGAGGCAACGGCAGCCCTCTACTTCTTCTTGGGCTTCAGGATCTGGTAGGCAATCACGAGTCCCATCACAGCATATGTAGCCTTGGCCACCTGCAACAACCAAATATCAAGAGGGTGTCATAACACATCGATGGCATAGATCCACATATGCATGCGGCCGAGTACTCACATTGGCGCGTCCGCTCATGGTCGAGCCATTGAATATTTTCGACAAGCCGGTCAGTTTCTCGCCTTCACCAGCCATTGCTGCGGGTGTGCATAAAAAGTAATTGGGTTATCTAGCTATATTTTCCATGCTTGGGATCGTTTACTCACTTTCCAGCTTTCAGGTTTTTCACGGAATAAAATAATTATATAATAGAGGTGTCAAACCATCGAGGGCACTATCGATGTATCGATATTTTACTGCTAGCCTCTACTATCGACGGTTTTGCGACTATCATGATAGTATCGAACTACAATCGTTGCACTTTTGACATGTTTGGATTGGCTGCTATAAAATACGAAGACACATTTGTAGACAAATCGACAGCTGGCATCTAATTTTTACAATGGACAAGTTCCTAAAAGGTTTCATTGGTTTTTTAGTAATTATTTGAGCCCGATACTATTACGATAGTATCGACTGTTTTTTTCAAAACATTCAAAGTTGATATTCCTCGATTTTGATATTCGGACTAATATTACTAGCTAGCTGGAACTCCCAGCCCTAAACAAATAATTTAATCCGATAGATACATAAATTGTCTACAAGATTGTCAAGTCTTCAGAAGTCTTTTTTATTGCTTTATTTACATATTAAGGTTCAAACAAAAACAACATAAAACGAATGTGACGTCGTCTTGTGGCGTTGCCAGACTCGTGCAATTCGTAGTTGCTGCGGGCTGCCATACCATGATATTTTGTGATATGAAATTCGTCAATTTTGATATTCAATTTAATATTACTTGATAGTTGGCCCTCTCAGCCCTGAACAAATAATTTGATCCAACTCCTCAATAAATTTTGTTTCAGAACTATTTTTTACTGGATTTCTTACATAATAAGGTTCAAACAAAGCGGCCAAAGTATAAAACGTAAATTTGGACTAAATGTGACGTCAGTGTTGCTGGTCAACCAAGTTTCTTCTATGCGTATGTACTTTTGTATACCTTAGTTCTTTTAATTGATGTTAAATGCTTTGTTCCAAGCTCCATTGAAACATTATTTATGATTTTATCCTAGATTGACATGCTTTTTACCTATTAATGCACATGTTTGTGCTTTCGCGCATGGTATATAAGTGACGCGGAGTTTAAAATTCAAACCGAAACGCAATATATCTAAGATCTATGAATTAGGCTGGGACGTGTTTTAATGGACAACTAAAAATATCGAGAGCAGCTTCAGCCTAGTAGACTTCGTGGTAGTAACTCGAGTGATTTATGCGGATATGGGGGGACCCATCAAATGTCAACGGCAGCCTGGGAAAATCTCATCTAATTACTAGGCGGGCGAAATAAATAGTGCAGCTTTCTTGCCCCCAACTATATTCGGCTGGGTGCTTGTAATCTGAAATAAAAACTCATTAAAATTAGAACGCAGAATGAGAACCGAAATCTGGCATTACAGATTGCCAACCAAAGAAGGCAACCAAAGCAAAAGGAATGCATTTAATAGAACAAAAAAGAGGAGGGTAAGAAAAGGAATAGAGTGTAAGGCCGAATCTTTATATACCCTTTCAACTGCATTGCATTAAAATTGTGCTAAATATTTTCGATTCACTTTAATGGTTGAGTTTGGTTGTAGTTTCTTTGGGAGAAATATTTAATTTGATGGCCTTTTCTTCATAGAAATATAGAGTCGGACGAACGACTCTGACTTCTACATTTACAGATCCTACTCGGATGGTGAATGGCCCTTCTCTTCTGCGTCGCATACATCTGGCTAGAAATATGCTACCCTATTTTTTTTCTAAACAAAAAATGTGTAATTAGTGCCATGAATGGCATTTGGGCGCTGTGCCTGCACACATATCCGCCCTCCACACCGCCCCCACACAAGCAAAATTTTACCTGCAAATCCTTCACCCACATCGCTCCCATCCGAAACAAAGGCAAGCGCCAAACAACAGCAAAAAATCAAAAAGAAAGAATGAAAATTACAGATTCCGCCCTGACATGCCAGCAGCAAGGGGCACGCCCATCTGCCCGAACTAGGGGCTGGTTGTAGGCTTTAGCTCCTGCTCTGGCCTTGGCTCTGGCATGTGTGGTATATAAGCCGATTGCATGCCAGTTGTCTGGCTATAATCGCCCAAGATGGCTAAGCTGGACGAGACCAACTCGCTGCGTGTGCAGATACTCGTCTACCGCCTGATGGGCATCGATCTGTGGAGCCCCACGACGGCCAACGATCGCCACCTGGTCACGTTCGTGACCATGGGACCATTGTTCGCCTTTATGCTGCCCATGTACCTGTCCGCCAGGGAGAACATAACCGAGGTGAGTCTGCTCTCAGACACGCTGGGCTCCACCTTCGCCAGCATGCTGACGCTGGTCAAGTACCTGCTGTTCGTCTACCACCGCAAGCAGTTCGTGGGCATGATCTACCACATCAGGGGCATCCTGGAGAGGGGTAAGTCTGAAGTTTGAAGTTTGGTCTGAACGAAATTGCTGCTAGAGCGCATCTCTCCATCAGAGATCAACGTGTGGCCGGAGGCCAGGGAGATTGTCGACGCCGAGAATCGCAGCGATCAGATGCTGAGCCTCGCCTATGCGCGCTGCTTCGGCTTGGCGGGCATCTTTGCGGCCATCAAGCCGTTCGTGACCATGTCCCTGGCCCTGCTGCGGGATGGGGGCGATGGCAGCAAGCTGCATCTGGAGCTGCCCCACATGGGTGTCTATCCGTACGACTACCAGGTGATGTGGTTCTTCGTGCCCACCTACCTGTGGAACGTGATGGCCAGCTACAGTGCCGTGACCATGGCCCTGTGCGTGGACACACTCCTCTGCTTTTTCACGTACAACGTTTGCGCCATCTTCAAGATTGCCCGGCACCGGCTCATTCATCTGCCGGCCATGGGCGAGGCGGATCCCCGTGCGGAGCTGGAGGCATTGGTCCAGGTGCTGTTGCTGCACCAGAAGGGTCTGAGGATAGCCGATTTCATTGCCGATCACTACCGGCCGCTGATCTTTCTGCAGTTCTTTCTGTCGGCTCTGCAGATTTGCTTCATCGGCTTCCAGGTGGCCGATCTGTTCCCGAAGCCACAGAGCCTCTACTTTATCGCCTTCGTGGGCTCCCTGCTGATCGCCCTCTTCATCTACTCGACCTGCGGCGAGAACATCAAGAAGGCCAGCCTGGACTTTGGCGACGGCATCTACGAGAGCAACTGGCCGGACTTTGCGCCGTCCACCAAGCGGGCCCTGCTCATTGTGGCGATGCGGGCCCAGCGCTCATGCCAGATGAAGGGTTACTTCTTCGAGGCCAGCATGGCCACCTTTTCAGCGGTGCGTAGCAACTATCTGTGGCCAGCAGATGATCCCAAAGCAATCATTATTTCCTGTATGACATTTCTTTGCAGATTGTTCGCTCGGCCATGTCGTACATCGCGATGTTGCGATCCTTCAATGCATAAACTGGAGCAGAGGCATCAGGAACAGGAGGAGTAGGACGCAACCGAACCAAAAGGGAAGCAGCACAAATATAGAAAATTCTCAGCTTTGTCGCAGCATTTTTTAATGAAAAGAATTCCCCCCAGTGCATTGCTCACATTTCAGTGCAGCTGTGCAAATAGGAAACGAAAACTAAAGGTTAATAAATGAAGAAAAATATAAATAACCTCCTCAAGGTGCAATGGGAATAAATAGCAAAGAAAAATTTCAGTCCCATGGGGAAGGAGCAAAAACGATGAGCTGAAGGAGGAGCCGAAGCTGAAGCCGAAGCCAAGGCCACAGCCCAGAACTCATGATATTCCGCCCTTTTAAGTTATTTAATTGGCAACTCTTTCACTCCAGTTCATACAGTTGTCTCCTGCCGTTGTTTTCTGTTCCCATTTCAGCTGGATAATTGGCGAATTTCCGAGGTCTCAGCCTCCCGGACTCGGACACGCCATCAGCTTAATTCTCTGCCATCCAACGCCCTGCCGCCCATCCACTAGCCCAACCCACACAACCACCCGCCTGCTTCCTATAGTTTTTGAAATTCTGACAGCAGCCTTGGCCTTGGTTTTCGCCTAACTTCTCGCTAACTTTCCGCAAACCTGTCCAAAAACTTGTCCAGCCTTCATTTTAGCTGGCCTGAAAACTAAAACCTTCCACAAGCTTCCCTCCCCACGAAAATGGGGGAATCTAAGCCCCTGATTCCACAGCTCTCTCACATCACTCGAATGTGGGGAACCGTGTGTTGCATTTGCTGTATCAATTTGTTGTGCCCTCTGCGCCCTCTCCTCTGTTCGCAGCGCAGCAAGAGAAAAGAGTTTCGGACTCTGTCGAAATTTGTGCAGTATCTGTGCAGTTGTGTTCCGGAACAGCTACTAGTATCGGATAACGCTATCAATTAGCTAACATTGAGCCACAATCGATTTGAAAGTGTTTCGGAAGCTGCGAGTGCCGCAAAGCCTTTCTTTCAGGTATCACAATGGAGGCAAGTAAATTAAAAAAGAATAAAGATGGAGCGGGGTGTATGGGGCAGGAAGAAGGACCACTGCACCTACCCACACCTCTACATACAGACTCTCTCTCCACACAATGCACTGTGGAATGTTTTGCAATCAATTTCGTTTGGTTCGCAAAGGTGCATGCTGCATGCTGCATGCTGTGCAGCAGTGGAAACGAATTGCAACGCAATATCGCTGCACAGTTTCATTAGAAGCAAAACCCTCGTGCTGGAGCCCATTTTCGTTGCCTGCCAATGGCAGGGAGTTCTGCTGCGCTGCTGTTAAGGATTCGCTGCCTGCCCGAATCGTGACTGATGGTGCACGAAGAGCGGCAACAGCAAAAGCTGCTCAACCGACAAGCTAAACCTCTGGTTGTATGCAAATAACTTGTGTAGGTGTAGCTAGGCCCTTTACACAAATACAGACCCAAAGCTGCAACCCAACACTGCCACAACAACACAGAGCTTGCCACCACGGAGCTGTGCTTGCTGCACAGTAATTACTTACTTTTAACGGCTCTCACGTTAAGTCTGGGAAGTGGGAGTGCAGGAGGGGACTGGCGCCGTTCATTCCGTTCTGCGATTGGCCATTCACCACATAACGCAATACATAGCACATCCAACGTGAGGCAATCACAGCAGTCACAAGTGCCATGCAACAGGCACTATTTGTTGCCGTTTGTGAAAATATTCGTGCGTACGAGTACCAACTGCAAATGAATGCCGAGAGCCGTCTGATCAGTTGTGTGGCACATAAGCCTATCGATTCGATGATTGGCCACTCGCAGCGGGGAAATGGAGAAAGCCAATGCTACATGCATCTCGCTCTGAAACAATATTTTCCACATCAACTCCATGCATCTCGCTCTATTTATCTCTTTCATGCCTTCATCTCTGGCAGCTCCAAACGAAGGCATCAAAAGTGTGAAAATATTTCTATATGTAGGCTGCACATGCACACATACTCGTGTACTACTATGCACCCACACATGTGTAGTTTATTCTGTGCACAAAAATACGCAGTCCTGCAATTCCCTAGATTTGGACGCACGTCAATGGGGGGTAGGGTGGTGTGGAGTCGGGAAATAAGTCAGCTCGTTGTGGCATCATAAGCCTCACCGTTTGCTGATTGGGTGTGCAGCACATAGCGGCATGCACTCGGACGCAGGCAATAAACAAAAAGCAGTTACTACAAAACACACACAGCCATTAATACGTATAGTTTGTGTGTGGCAACACTCTCTGGGACTATTCGTTTATTTGCAAGCATCTACTACTTGCATCTCTTTCCTGCACTCATGCATGGCTGTCCTGGCATATACACATATATAGAGAATATAGCCTTAAAAGGCAGTGATTATTCGATTGCTGTGTGGGCAAAAATCTGGCACAAAGTGGACAACAATACTATAATAATTAATAGGATTCCTTTGGTATATTTGGGTTGGGTAAAATTAGCCCATTTAATGATTTAAAACATTGATTTCAGATGGAAAATTGAAGCATCCAAATCGGCTAAATAAACCGCGACTGCTGAAGAAATAAATGGCAAAGCAGGGGAGGTCGGGGTATTTTGGGCCACTTTTTTATGTGCTCAACAGGTAACCATAAAATCAAGTTCTCCTTTCAATTTCAGTGCGGCATGTTGCAGTATGACTAATTATCCTTCTTTTCGTCTCAATTGTTGGATCGACTATGTATATGTATGTATGTATGTATGTATGTATGTACAATACAGGCATGCAAATTAATTGAATTTTCTTTGATTTGATTGCAAATGCATTGGAAACAATTAAATATGCAAATATTAAATTCAATTGGGTATGTGGGATAAATAAATTTAATTTAAATATAAAAAAATATTATTTAAATATGTAATTTATTTAGTTGCTTAATATAATGTAACTAATATTATATTTTAGTATTTTCATAAATCTAAATAGCACTTATAACTAACCATGTACATATTTGATTACCATGGCTTTTTTCATTGAGTTTGTACATAAAATGACACGAGTAACAGAAGCACGCCAAAGGGGAGCTTGTAGTGGAGTTTACAGCGCAAATTGTGTGAGTTTTGACTCATTATTTTATTTTGCTCTCCTCTTGGAGCTCCAGCCTCGTTTTACAATAAAAACGACTTGTTTTGTGCTGCCCAAATTGAATTAATTTATCCACATCTCACTCTGCATATCTCCAAATCTCTCCGGTATACAATCACATGTATGTATACATGCATATACTCGAATGCTGTAAGTTGTCCCTTGAAATGATTTTGCAACAACAACAACAACAACATCGTGGAGCAAAAGGGGATGTGAATGACAGTGAAATAAACGAGATTGAAATGTCCCCTGCTGCTGGTTCTGTTGCTGGTTCTGGTCCTGGTCCTGGTCCTGGTCATGATTTATTGCATCGCAACGCGAAGCAGCAAAGCGAGAAACTGCTAACTCTTAACTCTGAACTGTTGTTCCAGCATCCTCACTCGCTTCACAATCACAAAAAAAAAATAAAAAATAAAATATTAGCTGACAGATGTACGTATCTCTCACGGTGCGCACTCTCCTCCCCCGCCCAATTACGGTTCTTTATGCCACACTCCCTCCATGGGATTTGGCATAAATAAAGTGTACTCCAGCATAAACAAGAGCAACAGATGGGAAAAACAAAACAACAACAAATAGGAGCCTATACCGACTCTGTGATACCTATTACTTACTATTACCTACAATGGAATATTCCGAGTAAAAGAAACAAAAAATATTATGGTGCAAAGAGCATTAATTTATGAACATTCCTTGGGGTATTATTTTGTTCTGCTGGCTTCAAGTTGCGCACTCCCTTTCTTCTCAACTAGCAAAGGGTCATGGAAAGCAAACAGTTTTGACAACAGTTCCCGAGCACTTTGAACCTGTGCGAACATGCAAAAATAAAACCCGTCGCATTGTAACGACTGTTTGGAGGAAAGGGAAGAGCGTGCAGCGGCAACGGCAGGGTGGTGAGACATGGCGCTGGTGGCATGGTGGCAACACTTTTCAACTGTCGTTGATTTAATTAAAGAGCTATAAATAACCACCTCGATGGATGACCATCAGCAGCTTCCACTCTCCCACATTGCACATCATGGATTGACGCACCACCCACACACACACACACACACACACCCACTGGCCACTATCTCTCCCTGCATAGCCTTTTGTATTCCATCTGCCGCTGCTTTGACCAATTAATGCAGGCGGCCACAAGCAATTGCTGTTGCTGCTGTTGCTGCTGCTGGACTGCAAATCACCAAAGAGAGAAATAGAGAGACCCTAGAGTCAAACAACAGCAGCGACAAATTGAAGGGACACAGCCAGCCCGTACCGTACCGTGCAGGGCAGGAGCAGATAAAGGAAGTTGAGTTGCCATTCCATCAGAATCTCAGGCCTTGTTGACTCTGGTTCTCGCACTGCCACGCGTTCCTTCACACCGCCTCTTCCCCTCTCCATCGTGTGAGTAACTATCAGTTTTATTTTGAAATTAGTTTAGATAATTTTTATTGAAATTATAAAGGCCTGGCACCTCAAGAAACAACACAAATTTTGATTTAACTAACGCATCCAATTGTTCCATTCGATTTCAGACATTCTGCATACAAATTAGCAGTCTTCCCTCATTTTGTATGTCTCAAGCTGTAATTTTTAGTTCCGTTTTTAGTCTCCACTGGACCACTCGCATAATGTGACACAAAAAAGAACGCCAAACACTGTGAAAAATTATTGTGCATCAGTGGCCTAATGAAAATTTTAAGATTCGCTGGCCTCCGCTGGCCTCCCTGACTCCCTAGCTTCACCTGGCTAGGCCGCTCCCAATAGGGCCTGGGGGGACTAGGGGGACTTGCAGCAAAATATACTTTTCAAAAATCAAGGTGTGGGCAAGCAAGACTTTGCTAATGGAAACGGACGTCGTTTTAACCTGTGTTGTGTAAGACGGAGTGGCAACTTACGCAGCACGAACGTTGAAAAACGCATCGCAACCAGAAAAAACCGAACCAATTAAGGTCTCAAAGGTCAAAAAATTTTCCCTTAAGCGTATTTTCAATTATGAGAAAACTATGCAAAGATGATTAAAGTGCCAGCCCCCCCCCCCCGTGCCTGCTGTACACAAATGGTGATAGCGTCGACATGGAATGGCG